AGCTGCGCCACAGGAAGGTGAAATCTCAGTGCTTTACATTTACTGTGCTAAAATTCAGAAAAAACATCAGCACAATCTTTCAAATCAATAAATCTGGAAATGTGTAATTCAGAAATGTCTCCACAGGAGGGCGACATGTTTACATTCATTCAATTACATTTACAGTGGTGTCATTCACCAAAATCACCACACGAGGGCAAATATTTAAAAGTCAATAGATTCGCCGTGGTGTAATTCAGAAATATCTCCACAGGAGGGAGAAACTTTGAAATTTAGTATTTTAGAATGGCAGCAGTGCAGTTCACAAAAATCACCACAAGAAGGTGCTGTTATAGCGAATATTTTAAATTCAGCAGATTTAGGATTTGCAAAGGTGTAATTCAAAATAATCTCCACAGGAGGGCGCAATATTTGATACATATGTAATATTTGTCTATTTGTCTATTGTTAGATCAGATATTCAGCGTGTGTAATAATGTGTTGATTTGTGTGTCGACTCTACAGGATCTGTGAAGTGTTGTGGACTGTAAGCCTGTTGAACAGAAGCAGAGACAAGTGGACAGACACTGACTGTACTGATGATGATCATCTGCTGCTGCACAGGTGATGTAGATCATGTGTGTGATTGGTTGTGTGTGTGTCTGTTCCACATGTCGGTTACCATCATTTGCTTTGTGGAGGGTCACTCCTCTACAAAGTAAATGATGGTAACCGAAGCGGGTGGGGAAGGGACGAAGGTCCAGAATTTTTATACAGTTCATTTTAAATTTTTTGCCAGGCTGTAAAGTATAACCCCTGCTGGACACGGCTCCGGAAGCTCCAGGGGGAGACCGAACTGGTATCCCCCCTTCTTCAGGCGCGCCTCACACTCACTCACCATTCACTCATATCGCAGAGTTCTGGCTGGCCTTGAACCAGCAACCCCTGAAGCCGTGGGGCAGCGCTCTTACCACAGAGCCACAGATCTCCATGTCTGAACACTTGCTGGAACTGATGTTGGACTGCTGACCTGTGTGTGAGCTGATTCAATAAAACAAGATATATGTCAGATCTGAACCCTTGTCTTTATGAGTCTCTTCCTCAGAGAACTTGTGTTTATTCACTCATCAACCATCATTAGTTTCACATCAGCGTCCATCATCTTGGTGAACATAATGAATTGTGTGGGACATTAGCCATGGTGAGGTTTGAACCCGGGTCTCCTAGATTAAAGCTCAATACTTTAAGACCTGAGCCACTGAATCTGGACAGTGAAGGAGAGGTCAGATTGGGGCTTTATCACTATTCTCATCATGACCAGGGTTTGACACATGTTTCTTTGTAATTTGGGCCACGAAAAACCTGCTGCCAAATGTCAAACTCTGTGGCTCAAAGGATGAGCGTTCGCCTGTTATTTAGAAGTGTGAAGGATCGAATATTATTTCTGCCAGATCGAGATACAAGTCAGATTTGAACTCTTGTCTTTATGAGTCTCTTCCTCAGAGAACTTGTGTTTATTCACTCATCATGGGTTTCGTTCCATCATCAGGGGCTCCTGGTCAGTATAATGAGGTCAAGATGGACATTAGCCATAGTGAGGTTTGAACCCGGGTCTCCTTGATTAAAGATCAATAGTTTATGACTTGAGCCACTGAGTCTAGATGGTGAACAATGTGTCTGAATGAGGCTTTATCACTGTTTTCATCATAAACAAGGTTTGACATATGTTTCTTTGTAATTTGGCTCACAAAACAACTACTGCCTGATGTCAAGCCCTGTGGTTCAGTGGATGAGCCTTTGCCTGCCATACAGGAGAAATGGGTTCAAATCCCACTATTGCTTACTTTACTTTCGGTTGCTGGGATTCAATCAGACAGTGTGGCCCAAACAGCAACTGACAGACTGAAAGCCATGATGGGCTAGTGGATGAACACATGGTTGCGGTAGACAAGGTAACGACAGAGGCCTGGATACGAAACCCACCTCGATGTCTGGCTCACACCACTACAAGTGCAAGGTAATTAGAGCGGGAACACACACATAGAATTACTTTGTTGTTTTTCTGATTATCTCAGCAGTAAAAAGCAGCAGTAGTGCTTGGATTTGAACCCAGGTGTGCTGTGACAGCTTCAGATGTCCTGCTGTGTGCTCTGACCACTACACCATCACCACACACATAGACCCACATTTCTTTCTCCAATGGGAGGATAACCACATTCTACACATTTAAAAAAAAACTAAATAAACACAAATAATTCATATCAAATGTAAATTATTTTAAATAAATGTAAACTGCATCATATGCAAATATATTTTTATTTCACTATTCAAAATGTGGAAAACATGCTTATTCTTCAATCAGACACATGAACATGTTTCAAATTATCTTACAGCTGCTTGTGGGGCTTTAAATGTCACTAAACACAATTAAACACTGGAAAATATCATCATTTACTTCTAAAGTCTCCTCATACTGTACTGATGACTCTACACCAAATCTGGCCAATCACATGCTCTCCACAGAAAGTCCCTCCCCCAACAAACACGCGACAGAGCAGCAGCACAACAAACACACTTTCTGGACTCTCTACTGGAAATATGAGCTCATAAATACCTTTCCTGGAGCTGTGAATCCGCCTGGATGTGGAGGAGCGTGTGGAGGAGCGTCAGCTGTTGAGCGCAGCTCAAAGATCTGCAGCAGAAACACAACAGACACACGTGTGTATCTTCACTGCTGCAGAGGAGAGAGAGAGAGAGAGAGCAATGACTGAACACAAACACTACAACAACATCACTACAAACTAAACCAACGAAGCAAAGTCCCTTACAGGTGAGTCTCGTTACTCTCCATTTCTGCACTTGGTGTGGCTTTTCTTCGCTGTCGGGCTGTAATATCTGCTGTTGACTGACATTATGAGTCTGTCACTGAGCTGTCATCTGCTGGAGCTCAACTTGACGCCAGTAAAACGGTGTACCTGTGCTGATCTGGTGTCGCTGTTGTCAAAGGTGTTCAGGCTAAAAGAGCAGCTCGCTGAATAAATAAATACTATTTAAATCAGGATCGGCAGAGAGGCAGGAACTAAACTCAGATCATCGTGAGCACAGTTTTGCTACATGTCTGTCTGTTTAACTAATTTTTAATGTTTAAAGCATATACTCAAACATCTAATCATTCATAAGTGATTAATTTTCTCACTTTATTTAGAGTTTCAGGGCATATTTTTGATTGACAGTGTAGAAATATCAAATAATTATCATTAAAATATGAAACAATTTTTAAAAAACTATTGATTTCAGGCTCAACATAAAAAATATTGTTGAATAAAATGTAAAACATAAACAAACTGATCAGTGAATGTCCGCTTGAACTGAGAAAATGTGACTTTAAACAGAGAGCAGCTGAAGCTGTATTGATTTGTTTTACTGTCTTTACTGCAGATGAAGTTGGTATGTGCTTGTCAAATAAACATTTCAGACGTTTCTATGGATGCTGCACAATTTTTATGTCAAATTTAAGAATTTGAGTCCTGAAGAATAAATAAATCAGTGGAGATGTCCAATAGCAGAGTTTCACTGTGTTTGTTTACAGTCTACTGTGGACATCAGCTGATTCACAAACACATTCATATTATCCACATTCAGTGCACTGCTCAGTCCTCTGCCATTTTGATCTATATAAGAGTATTTTGTAGTCTGCTGAGTATAAGTGTGTACATACTACAAAATGCACATTTAAAAATAGTCAATTACTGTAATCTTTCTGAAGTGAAAGAACTGCAAAACACTTTATTAAACACCAACAGTTGAAGCAGAGGTTGATATTAATTCTGCCTGTTTTATATCAGAGCTTCAAAATACAACAGAATAAATCTCTGCCGGTCTCTTTTGTTAAGTTTAATTATAATGTAGCCTAAATTTATCCATAACACAATAATGCAGGCCGCAAGTCAGATCACAGCTTACTCAAATTCATAAATATGGTTGATATGAACCTTCTGACTCTAGTCATATTTTATAGGAAATGAATGAGCATATTAAACTGTTTCTGGAGGTTTACCTAAACAAATCACAAACCTACTAAATATCAGAGAACAATTGAACTTATTGAATCAATGCAGAATATGCAGCACCTCAGAATCATTCGATTTGCAAAGGTGTAATTCAGAAATATCTTTACACAAGCGTGAAACGTTTAACTTCATTATTTTATAACAGCAGCAGTGCAGTTTACAAACATCAGCACAAGAGTAATATATTTTATAATATTTTAAACTCATAAGATTTGTTATGGTGTACTTCTGAGAAATCTCTAAACGAGGGCAATAAAATGTTGGTTGTCAGCAATAGAGGAGGAAAATACTCATAACGACAGCTGCGCCACAGGAAGGTGAAATCTCAGTGCTTTACATTTACTGTGCTAAAATTCAGAAAAAACATCAGCACAATCTTTCAAATCAATAAATCTGGAAATGTGTAATTCAGAAATATCTCCACAGGAGGGAGAAACTTTGCATTTGAGTATTTTAGAATGGCAGCTGTGCAGTTCACAAAAATCACCACAAGAAGGTGCTGTTATAGCGAATATTTTAAATTCAGCAGATTTAAGATTTGCAAAGGTGTAATTCAAAATAATCTCCACAGGAGGGCGCAATATTTGATACACATGTAATATTTGTCTATTTGTCTATTGTTAGATCAGATATTCAGCGTGTGTAATAATGTGTTGATTTGTGTGTCGACTCTACAGGATCAGTGAAGTGTTGTGGACTGTAAGCCTGTTGAACAAAAGCAGAGACGAGTGGACAGACACTGACTGTACTGATGATGATCATCTGCTGCTGCACAGGTGATGTACATCATGTGTGTGATTGGTTGTGTGTGTGTCTGTTCCACATGTCGGTTACCATCATTTGCTTTGTGGAGGGTCACTCCTCTACAAAGTAAATGATGGTAACCGAAACGGGTGGGGAAGGGACGAAGGTCCAGAATTTTTATACAGTTCATTTTAAATTTTTTGCCAGGCTATAAAGTATAACCCCTGCTGGACACGGCTCCGGAAGCTCCAGGGGGAGACCGAACTGGTATCCCCCCTTCTTCAGGCGCGCCTCACACTCACTCACCATTCACTCATATCGCAGAGTTCTGGCTGGCCTTGAACCAGCAACCCCTGAAGCCGTGGGGCAGCGCTCTTACCACAGAGCCACAGATCTCCATGTCTGAACACTTGCTGGAACTGATGTTGGACTGCTGACCTGTGTGTGAGCTGATTCAATAAAACAAGATATATGTCAGATCTGAACCCTTGTCTTTATGAGTCTCTTCCTCAGAGAACTTGTGTTTATTCACTCATCAACCATCATTAGTTTCACATCAGCGTCCATCATCTTGGTGAACATAATGAACTCAGTGGGACATTAGTCATGGTTAGGTTTGAACCCGGGTCTCCTAGATTAACGCTCGATACTTTAAGACCTGAGCCACTGAGTCTGGACAGTGAAAGAGGTGTCAGATTGGGGCTTTATCACTATTCTCATCACGACCAAGGTATGCCACATGATTCTTTGTAATTTGGGCCACGAAAAACCTTTTGCCAAATGTCAAACCCTGTGGCTCAAAGGATGAGCGTTCGCCTTCTATTTAGAAGTGTGAAGGATCGTATCTCATTTCTGCCAGATCGAGATACAGGTCAGATTTGAACTCTTGTCTTTATGAGTCTCTTCCTCAGAGAACTTGTGTTTATTCACTCATCATGGGTTTCGTTCCATCATCAGGGGCTCCTGGTCAGTATAATGAGATCAAGATGGACATTAGCCATAGTGAGGTTTGAACCCGGGTCTCCTTGATTAAAGATCAATAGTTTATGACTTGAGCCACTGAGTCTAGATGGTGAACAATGTTTCTGAATGAGGCTTTATCACTGTTTTCATCATGACCAAAGTTTGACAAAGTTCTTTGCAATTTGGCTCACAAAACAACCATTGCAAAATGTCAAGCCCCATGGCTCAGCGGATGAGCCTTAGACTGGCATACAGGAGACATGGGTTCGAACCCAACTATTGCTTACTTTACTGTCACTTGCTGGGATTCAGTCAAACAAAGAAGCCCAAGGAGCATGAAAGCCATGATGGGCTAGTGGATGAACATATGGTTGCGGTGGACAAGGTTACGGCAGAGGCCTGGGTACGAAACCCACCTCGATGTGTGGCTCACACCAACGAAGGTACAAATAGCAAGGTAATTAGGAGGTGGGGGAACACAAACATAACAATACTTTGTTTTTTTTCTAATTATCTCAGCAGTAAAAAGCAGCAGCAGCTCTTGGATTTGAACCCAGGTATGCTGTGACAGCTTCAGATGTCATGATGTGTGCTCTGACCACTACACCATCACCACACACATAAACCCACATTTCTTTCTCCAATGGGAGGATAACCACATTCTACACATTTAAAAAAAAAAAAAACTAAATAAACACAAATAATTCATATCAAATGTAAATTATTTTAAATAAATGTAAACTGCATCATATGCGAATATATTATTATATTTCACTATTCAAAATGTGGAAAACATGCTTATTCTTCAATCAGACACATGAACATGTTTCAAATTATCTTACAGCTGCTTGTGGGGCTTTAAATGTCACTAAACACAATTAAACACTGGAAAATATCATCATTTACTTCTAAAGTCTCCTCATACTGTACTGATGACTCTACACCAAATCTGGCCAATCACATGCTCTCCACAGAAAGTCCCTCCCCCAACAAACACGCGACAGAGCAGCAGCACAACAAACACACTTTCTGGACTCTCTACTGGAAATATGAGCTCATAAATACCTTTCCTGGAGCTGTGAATCCGCCTGGATGTGGAGGAGCGTGTGGAGGAGCGTCAGCTGTTGAGCGCAGCTCAAAGATCTGCAGCAGAAACACAACAGACACACGTGTGTATCTTCACTGCTGCAGAGGAGAGAGAGAGAGAGAGCAATGACTGAACACAAACACTACAACAACATCACTACAAACTAAACCAACGAAGCAAAGTCCCTTACAGGTGAGTCGCGTTACTCTCCATTTCTGCACTTGGTGTGGCTTTTCTTCGCTGTCGGGCTGTAATATCTGCTGTTGACTGACATTATGAGTCTGTCACTGAGCTGTCATCTGCTACTGGAGCTCAACTTGACGCCAGTAAAACGGTGTACCTGTGCTGATCTGGTGTCGCTGTTGTCAAAGGTGTTCAGGCTAAAAGAGCAGCTCGCTGATTCCACCTAGTGGAGCGGATGGGATCTGCACTTTAACGCAGAAAAATCCAAGTCTGCATGCAGATACTATTGGAGAAAGACTGACCAAATCTGCCTCTTGCAGAGTTTACAATTTTTTTTTCATCCACTCATTGCGTTTTCATTCAGCAACAGAAATACTTATAATATAAAACTTAATGAACGACTTAATACAATATAGGATTAAAAATAAAGCAGCCAGTCATCTTTATAAGGCATTTAGTAAAGGAAATGTGTTCGTATTTTTGTTGGTAAAAATTATCATTTGTGTCTGCTAAATTAGTTGTGTGCTGAATTGTACACCTGTCACACTCTAAAACTTAATATTAATTTGGTTAAGAGCTTATTAGAAAATAAATAAACTGAATTTGTATATTAAATAGAGCATGAACTCATACATTGTGAATACACTTTAATGTGTGATGAGAACTTTTTAAATGTTTTTAATAATGTGTGTGGTGATGGAAATGACATTTCAACAGTTTATTGTGAAAAATAATGAAAAATAGCTTCACCGATTAACTTTGAATTGATACAAGCCTTTCATATATACAAAACACTCTTATTTACCCTCATTTTGTTTTGGTTTTACATTTTTAAGTAGGTTTTATTGTTAGTTTGACAAAGAAAGAGGAATTTGAACAAAATTATATATATGTTTGGATATTTGATCAAAGGACATAAAAGTGCTCGTAGTTGAAGAATTACCCAGATCCTGAAAATAGAGATTTGACAGACACAGACGCTTCAGCTGAACACATCACTACATTAGGTCATGTTTAACTTCAGTCACTGATCAAAATCATGTCAAAGATTAAAAACTGATTCAAATAATCATAATAATAAAGTCAACAAGAACAGATTTTGATCCTTCCTGAAACAGATGAAGACAGAAAACGACTCGCTTCAACAGGAAGCAGAACTGTGCTCACGATGACCTCAGTTTAACTCAAGCCTCTCTGTCATTTGAAGATCCCCATAAAAACTGTGATATTTAGCATTTGATGATAAGTCTCTATTTAATAATAATTACTTTTTTAGTTTAGACCTCTAGACTTTCTGCTTCCTTTTACACATTAAAATGTTTCTGGTTGTCAGCATCAGTGGAGGAAAATACACAGAACTACAGCTGCGCCACAGGAAGGTGAAATCTCAGTGCTTTACATTTGCTGTGCTGAAGTTCAGGAAAAACATCAGCACAATCTTTCAAATCAACTGAACTGCAAAGGTGTAATTCAGAAATATCTCCACAGGAGGGCGACATGTTTAAATTCATACTATTAGATTTGCAGTGGTGTCATTCACCAAAATCACCACAGGAGGGCGAACATTTTAAATTCATCAAGTTCGCAGTGGTGTAATTCAGAAATATCTCCACAGGAGGGAGAAACGTTCATTATTTTAGAGCGGCAGCAGTGCAGTCCACAAAAATCCCCACAAGAGGGCGAATATTTTAAATTCAGCTAACTACATCAAATTTACTTTATTGTGCCCTCCTGTGGTAATTTTTGTAAACTACATCACAAATTGACATTAAGACGCCATTCTGTGGTGGTTTTTGTAAACTACATCACTACAAATTGATTAATTGGCCCTCTTGTGGTGATTTTTGTAAACTACGTCACTAATTGACATTAATGCGCCCTCCTGTGGTGATTTTTGTAAACTACATCACTACAAATTGACATTAAAGCGCCCTCCTGTGGTGATTTTTGTAAACTACATCACTACAAATTGACATTAAAGCGCCCTCCTGTGGTGATTTTTGTAAACTACATCACTACAAATTGACATTAATGCACCCTCCTGTGGTGATTTTTGTAAACTACATAACAAATTGACGTTAATGCGCCCTCCTGTGGTGATTTTTGTAAACTACATCACAAATTGACATTAATGCACCCTCCTGTGGTGATTTTTGTAAACTACATAACAAATTGACGTTATTGCGCCCTCCTGTGGTGATTTTTGTAAACTACATCACAAATTGACGTTAATGCGCCCTCCTGTGGTGATTTTTGTAAACTACATCACAGATTGACGTTAATGCGCCCTCCTGTGGTGATTTTTGTAAACTACATCATAAATTGACGTTATTGCGCCCTCCTGTGGTGATTTTTCATGAACTACATTGTTAAAATGAACATTGTTTCACCCTCCTCTAGTAAATCGTGAACTACACTGACTTTATTGATCTTTAATTTAACGTGATGAATTTTGTGAACTACATCTCAAAAAAAAAGATTTAATCAATCCTTAATGCATCACATCGTCCTCTGGTGCTTTTTGTAAACTACACCACTACAAATTGACTTGAACTGACTCACTATGTCTGTCTAGTAGCGCTTCTGCTTGAGTAACTTGATTAAACATGTCAGTTACTCAAAAAAAGTGACCCTTAGCCAGTCATTAAAGATCTTTATTAACTCTTTACATGTCAAACTCAAAATGTTAGCACATGCAAATTAAATAACTTATTCAAGCAAATACCTTTCTGATGAGAAAACACAGAGCACAGACCTGCATGGGTTACTGCAGTCCTGAAGACATTGATTGGCTTCAGGTGTTTTCGATCAGGTTGTAGTTAAACTCAGGAAAGTGGAGCAGGAGCAGGATTAGACACGCCCCCTCATTTTGAATCTCTTTCCTCACTCTGCTTTTCCATTTATTGTGTTTCTACACATATCTGCATATCGTTCTGTGGGTGAGTGGGTAGATTATTGTGTCTTGGTACAGGAAAGTGTGAGTTTGAATCTCACGATTGCTTAAGTTCATAGTGGATTTTGATAAATGATTTATTCAGTTCAAAGTAAAAACAATCAATTTAATCTGAAAGCCTAAAAGACGATTTAAAGCACATATGATTCATGTCATGGTCTGTGGCTAAGTGGATAGTTGCTAGTACATTGGTTGTGAGCTGTCTGGGTTCAAATCCCAAATTCACCAAAGTGTTTATTTGCTTGTTTCTCACAATTTCAGATTAGTTGTGATAATTTATCACACAGTAAAAAAAAAAA